AGCACGCCAGCACCCGCCTACGGCATCAGTGGGGCCCAGGCTGCCCCCCGCAGAGGTGAGGCCCCAGCCCTGCCCGCCTCAAGAAGAGCTGCTGATCCCGGATGGTGTCGAGCCCCTCGTGGGCGGTGGCCACCGCTGGGCCGGCGTCGAGCCCCGCACCACGTCCTGGTGCCGCTGCTGAGGGCCTTTACCTTTTTCGCAGCTCTTGCCTGTGTAGCTGACTTTGCAGGTGCAGCTGTGGGTGCCATTGCTGGGCAGGCAGTAGCCTCTGCTCCCACAGGGGCTGGAGAAGCACGGGTCGCTGGCTGCAGGAGAGATGCCAGGCCCGGAAGCGTTAGCCGTGCCTGCTGGCCAAGTGGCTGCCCCATGCCAAGCTGCCCTGCCCACCTTACCTGTTTCACAGTGGTAGCCAAAGAAACCCTCCGGGCACATGCAAAGATAGGAGCCCCCGTAGCTCTCGCACTCTCCTCCATTTTGGCAAGGGTCCGACTCACAGGCGTCCACTTCTGGAAGTGAGAGGCCAGCGGTGAGCAGGGCAATGAACCCCTGAGGGGGCAGCAGCCCACGGCTCAGCACAGCCTGTCAGGACCCAGAATCCCACCCAAGCACCAAGGCACCTGCATTCCCTGGCAGGGTGTGGACACTTTCGATAGGGGACCCTGGTGAATACCTTGTTCCTTGCTACCTCCCCGCTGGAGCACTTCCAGCTCTGCCTCTGAAACAGCAGGCAAGAAGGTGAGACAGGTGGTGAGCACCCAGGGTGATGGCTCGGGGTCAAGGAGCCCAAGATGGCAACCAGCCACCTGGCTTGGTGCTGGTCCTGGCCCTGTCCCAGTGCCCACGGCCTAGCCTCCCACCATCCCGGGAAGGGCAAGTCCCTACCTGTCTCACACTGGGTCCCCATAAAGCCCTCAGGACAGTAGCAAGCAAAGGACCTGGGCAGGTCCCGGCAGGTCCCGCCGTTCTTACAGGGCTCTGACTGGCACTTATTGACATCTGGAGAGCAGCTGCCCATTGCTCCCTTCAACCAGCACCCACACACAACCACAACCACATGCATACACAGGAGCAGGAGCACAGTGTGGCCAAAGATGTGCAACCTCAAGCTGCTTTTCCCCCCACCTCTTGGCCAATAACTTTGGAGCCATGCAGGGCACTTCCTACCCAGATGCCAAGATCTGGGGCTTCTCTGCATGGGCTTAACATGTGTCAGAAGTCACTGCCCCGTCACTGACGGAGATGCTCACACAGTATCCATTAGTTGGGGGTCACAAGCAGCACAGGGGCCCCTGCAGCCCTGCCTGCTCCTCCACCCGACTGGGAGCAGTATCTCCCTGCCAGCACATTCCAGTTGGCCAGGGCTTCTGAGAGAGGACCCCTCACCGCAGGTGGATCTGAGCATACAGACAGGAAGGAGACTGAAGCTAGTGCACACAACCGCAGGCAGCCCAGCTACTGGCCATGGAGTTTGTGCCCACTGTCATTCCCCGGGGACAGAGGGTAGAAAAAAATATAGATGCCTGTGGCAGCCCTGGAGCACACCTGGCACCGTCTCTCACCTGTCTCGCAGTGGTGGCCTGTGTAACCCGGCTCACACAGACACAAGAACTCGGCGATGCGGTCCTTGCACTGGCCACCATTCAGGCAGGGCTGAGACCGGCACTCATCGATCTCTGCGGACATTTGGGCAGGTGAGAGACAAGGTGAGAGATGTGAACACCGGGCAGAAGTTTTGTCCATAGGCACAGATGGGGCTTGGCCACTCCCCAGTGCTTCTCACCATCGCATTCAGGGGGGTCACTCCAGGCACCTGGCAAGCGGCAGATGCGGGGGTGGTTGTGCTGACTGATGGTGTAGCCCAGCTCACACTGGTATTCAGCCAGTGAGCCCACCTTGGTGGAGTTGAAAGTGGCTTGGGCATGCTTCACCTCGCTGGGGATGCCACAGTCAACCTCTGGGGAGAGACAGGGTTGGGGTGAGCGGGGCCTGCAGAAGCACCCCAAGCTCCTGGCTGGCAGGAGCAGCGCAAGGCCCTTACCAGACTGGCAGCGCTCCCCTACATAGCCCATGGGGCACGTGCAAGTGTAGCCCTCACCGAGGTCCTCGCAGGTAGCACCATTCTTGCATGGGCTAAGGAAGCACGGGGAGGGCTCTAGAAGAGCAGAACAAAAAGCAACTACTGCAGAGCTGGCAGAGCCCAGAAAGCAGAGCCATCACCTTTCCCCCTCCAGCAGCACTCCCCACACTCTGGCAGAGTGCAAGGAAGAGTCAGAGCCCTTCAAATTACAGGAAAGGGGGTTAAAAGCAAGCAGCGAGGCTTGCTTGCTACTGCCATGGCTATGGGCTCTGCCAGTAGCCCCAACACCTCCCTAGGCAGCCCCCAGCACCAGCACACCCTGCTCACACCTACCAATTTCGCAGTGCCGGCCAGCGTAGCCCAGGGGACAGTCACACTTGTACTTGCCGATATAGTGGAAGCAGGTGCCCCCATTCTGGCAAGGTCCCGAGGCACAGGGGTCTGGCTTACCTGGGGGCAGAGGGCAGGCGAGAGCTGAGCAGTGAGCAGGACAACTGCTGCTTCTCGTCCCTAGGTGGGAGTCGGGTGGTCATACCGATCTCGCAGTGCTTGCCAGTGAAGCGGTAGGGGCAGGTGCAGTGGTACTCGCCATCCACCTCCCTGCAGGTGCCCCCATTGCGACAGGGCCCTGTGCTGCATAACTGTGGCTTGGCTGCAGAGAAAGCATCAAGAGCAGGGGTCACCCACTGCTGCTGGCACCAAGAGCCACTGGCTCCCACCAGCACCCCACCCCTCACTGCGGGAAAGCCAAGCACACCCAAGCCTCCCAGCCCTGGGCTCAGCAACACTGTGAAGCAACACCCATGTAAGATGCACACCAGGGACTTGGAGGGGAGGCATGGGTGCCTGATACCAGGGGACTGGCAGCTGCTCCTGAGGCCAGAAGCTCAGGCATGTAAGAAAACTCCCGACACTGACAGTGTTGTGCAGGAAGCACAACTGGATTGGCTGCTGTGACCATCAGGGGCCTTGAAGGGAGCCACACAACCCTCCCTTCAGCCTCCAGGATGGGGTGGGATAACCTGTACCCACTTCCAGATGCAGCTCAGCAAGCAGCTGCTCATCTCTCACAAGCGTGCAAGCTCTTCTCCCACCCTGCCACGTCCCGGGGCCGGCAGGGAGCTCCGTGCAGGTACCTTTCTCGCAGCGCTTGCCAAGGAAGCCTCGAGGACACTCGCAGGTGTACGAGTCATCGTGAACCTCGCAGGACCCCCCGTTCAGACAGGGCTCTGAGTCACAGGGGGATGGCATCGCTGTAAAGCCAAAGACAGGGCATCACTGAGGACATATGACCAGGGGTGTGAGGGCTGCTCCCCAGCTGACGACGGTATACCCTGCTCAACCCTGACTCCCACTGTGTGTCCCTCCCTGGGGCTTGTCCCGTATCTCTGCAGCCAAGACTTACTGTGGTTGGTGCTGTAGTCAGTGTGGCAGACGCAGAGGTAGCTCCCACCATACTCCATGCAGTACCCGCCGTCCGGGCACTGTGTGTTCATGTTGCATGGTGTGGTGGTGACTTCTGCAAACACATGACCAGCACCAGCCTCCATCAGCTGGCAGCAGGATGCCCAGCTGGCTGCCTGGCCAGAAACAGGGGTCTCCTAACTTTGCAAGGTCTGATGAGATGGGAGGGACCCTCTGTACCCCACACCACAGACCATCCAAAGAGCAAGGGCCAGCCTAGATGACCAGCAAGCTTTGGAGCAGGAGCGCATGAAGGCTGCAGTTCCCTGCCCACCCAGGGGAGCCGGGCTGGGGCCAGGGACTGGGAGAGGCACAGCTCAAGGGGCAGTGATGGAAATGGAAGCGTTGCTTCCTCACCAAGGGATGATACTTCCAGGCTCAAATTCAGTGCAGGCCCCTGGTACCATGCTAGGCTCAGGTATGGGCAACACAGAGGGGGAGCAAACAGAGCGAGCGAGAATCCCTCACCTACCAAATTCACAGAGCAGACCAAAAAACCCAGGCAGGCACTGGCAGATGGTGATGTTCCCCTCCAGACAACTGCCCCCATTGCGACACTCACAGCCCTCAGACAGCTCTGCAAGAGAGGAGACAGGACCCCTCCTGCTTGCAGGGCTTGGACATCCAAGCAGCCTGGCTGGATGCCACTCATGGGGGAGCTCAGGTAGGTGGCAGCCACAAGCCCTCTCAGACACCCAAGCACAGCCTTCAGCATGACAAACCCACTGTTCAGCCCAGAAGCCCTAAATGGGCTCTCCAGGGCTGCTGCTTCTCCCTCTCAGGAGTGCGAGGGTTCCCTTAGAGATGCCACACCCCACTGGAGACACTCCCCAGTACTCACTGTCTCGGCAGTCCTGCCCAGTGTATCCCTCCCGGCATTCACAGATGTAGCCCTGCTCCGTCTCCAGGCAGCTGCCCGCATTCTGGCATGGGTGTGAGAGGCAGGCACCGGGCACACGGGGCCCGCCTGTGGGGAAGGCAGAGGCTGAGCCAGACCCATCCCAGCCTGGGGCTGGAACACCCTCTAGTCCAGCAGAGCCAGGGCAGAGCTGGTCTAGCCCAGATTCACGCCAGAGACGCCACCACAGCCGAGCAGTGCCACTGGAAGGAGCTCCCTCCCGGCAGCACCATGATCCCTCTGCGCACCCTGCCTGCCAGCTTTCAGCAGCACCTATGGCTGACAGAGCCTCTTTTTACCCATTTGTCCCTTCCTGCCCAGCTCCCCCAAACTGGCTCCTGTGCCAGGCTCGGTGAGGCACACCTCCACTCACCATACTGGCAGCCGTAATAACCTGGGGAGCAGGTACAGATGTAACGTCCGGGGCGGATGTAGTTGCACGTCTGCCGATTCCGGCAGCTCCGGTCCTCACAGGAAGACGAGTCTGGGGGTGGGGGGGAAAGCAAGCGAGTGATGAGCAGAGCCTGGCCCTGGGAGAGGCCATCATGGCCAGCGGAGCATGGAGGGGACAGTCCCTGGCATGGGTGGTCCCAGGGTGCAGGCAGAAACAGGCACCTGTCTGGCAATGCTGTCCCACGAAGGGTTCCAGGCACACACAGGTGTAGTTATCGACCAGGTCGATGCAGTGCCCACCGTTCAGGCACGGGCTGGACTCGCACTCGTTCACCTCTGCAAGGGGAGGCCAGAAGGGGTGGTCAGGCTGCGCGCGAGCACTGCCAGGCTGCTGGTTCACCCGCGGCCTCCCATCCTGGACAATGCTCAGGAGGGGGAAGGCGATGGCCGGGGGAAAAAAAAGTCAGCAGCAGTGCCAAGCGCTTCCCTCCCAAACCTACGGCCAGGGCTGAAGCAGGGTGGGAAAGCAGCTTGCCAAGGCGTGAAGTGTCACCATCTCCCGCCTGCTCCTGCCACTCACCTGTCTGGCAGTCTTCCCCCGTGTACCCTGGCTGGCACAAGCACACTGCCGTCCCGTTCACTGCCTGGCACGTCCCACCATTCTGGCACACTGTGCTCTCACATGGCGACTCTTCTGCAGTGCGACACCGAAAACGAGAGAGCATGGGATCAACCCAGGCACAGGACTGGCATGTGTCATCATCTGCATACACATGTGGTCATGCCAGGGCTGGGCAGAGAGCACAGCCTGAAGCCACCAACACACCCTCTGGCAGGAGACAGCAGCCGCATCCCCAGCTGTGGCTCTTCCCAAAACCCTTCCTTGGGCAGCTCAGCCCTTTCATCCCCCTGCACCTCCTGGATGCCACTGTGCTGCGCTGGGCGTTTCTTTCTCCCTCCCTTCCCTGAAAGTCAACTCCCTACTCGCTTTCTCCACTGTTGCGGGGTCTTGCTGGGAGCCAAATGCTTTGGCGGCAATTCCACCACTGGGTGGAGGCCAGCAGCGGGGGAAACCAGCCACCGCAGCCCCTGCCAGGGACTGGGAGAGTCCCCACTGGCTTTGAAGGGCTAAGGACTAGAGCATCACCTGCAAAAGCAGGGCCTCCGAGACTTCTGTTTAAGCACTAACTGCCAGCTTTTCTCACCAAGGGAGTGGTGGCAGGGAGAGGTGCTGGCACAGTGCTGAGTCGAGCCTTCAGTGGAGTGGGCTGCCAGCAGCAGGAAGGGCTCACGGCCAGAGCAAAGTTTCCTTTGCCTGCAGTAAGCTGAAATCCAAGCTGGCCATCACAAACTGCTTGAGCCCAGCAGCTGCTGCGGGAGCTCTGGTCTCAAAGAATTCCCCACAAGAGCAGTAGTGCCCCCCAAGGCTGGGGTCTGCTCTTCAAGTGCGGCAAAGAGACAGCCCCACTGCGCTGACGGCCCCATACTCACCAGTCTCGCAGTTGGCACCTCTGAAGCCCAGCAGGCACCTGCAGCTGAAGCTGCCGGCACCATTGATGCAGGTGGCTCCGTTCTGACATGGGCGGGAGAGACACTCATCCACATCTGAAACAGACCCCCAGGTGGGGGCAGGAGCTCAGGGAAGGGACAGCCGCAGGGACATACACCGGGAGTGAGACCCGCTCCCTGCAGCGAAGTGCCAGGAGCTCAGGGCTGGCACTCACCAACATGGCACCTCTTCCCAGTAAAGCCAGCCAGGCAGGAACAGGTGTAGGAGGGGTTCCCTGTGATGCAGTCCTCGATACACTTCCCCCCGTTCAGGCAGGGCCGCAGCGTCAGGCAGACAGAGGCTATGGGGACAGGCGGTGCCCCCCCTGTCAGCCCATACCCTGGCAGGACTCACCCGCCGCTTTCCAGCCACACCAGCACGAAAGTCTGTCCCCGCACCCACGCGGCTCCCCAGGGTGCTCGGGGAGCCCACGGGGGCTGCCTGCCTCACGGCAGGGCAGGGTCCACTTATCACCCAGGGCAGAGGGAAAGGTGGACAGGGGAGCCCATGTACAGCAAACCCACCAGTAACGCGAGACACATGCAGATCATGGGTGGGAAAACATGGCTGGGGGGAGTGGGGATGAGGAACGGGAGGCCAGTGGCTCCATGGGGGACGCGTCAGGACCCCTGGGGTGGGGAGCATGAGCCCAGCCCTGGCACCCAGCCCCATGAGGGAGGCTGGCACCCAGCAGCCCTCCATATGGTTAGCCCCAACCTCTTGGGACTTACAGATGTGTGCATCCCTCAAGGGTGCCGGCCCCTCATGCCCTGCCCTGCCTGGCAGCGGGGTCTTGCCTGTGTACCATCGCCTTCTCCCCAGCCTCCCTCATTGCTCCCCACAGGTTCTTTTTGTCTCAAAAGTCTTCTTCCCCTCCCCATGTACTCTCCCAGCCTCTTCCCAGCCCCAGGGCACCTGTGGGTGCCATCCCCAGACACGGCAGGCACTGAGGACGGTCATGGCTACCTCCCCTCCCTCCCCAAGCCCTTCGAGCTGTCTCCTCCACACCGCGGAGGTGGGGGTTGAGGCAGGGAAAAACGGGGCTGGAGAACAGTGTAGGGTCGGGTTGGGAGTTAAATAAACCTAACTGCTGTCCTCTTACTTGTATTGCTGCAGCCCCCCACTTGCACCTGGGCATCATCGATTCTGAACACCCAGCGCCCGGGGATACCCACATTTGTCGTCATCTCCACGTCAGCGATGTCATCGGTGCGGGATCCGGGGATGTTGAAGTAGCGCTTTCCATCACCAGCGTTAAAGCCTGCCTGGGAGGACAAGGGCAGAGGGTAAAGGGACATCACTAGTGCATGGTGGAGGGAGTCTGGAGCACAAGTGCTCATCTCTCCTGCCACTCAGCGCTGGCGCTGCTCAGATCAACTGTCCCCTTCCATGTGCCACTGACCAGCATTCAGCCCTGTCCACGTGCCGGAATGATAACTGGCACAACAGGGTGAAGCAGCCACCCTGCCTGCTCAGTCCCTCCTCTAGAATTCAAAACCCATCATCTGCTTCCTCTCTACCAGCAGCACCCTGCCTGCTGCAGGCTGGTGGGCAGGGAGCCAAGCATGGATCAACTGCCAGTAAATTCACACATCCAAATGGGTACTGGGGCTTTTGCGGGTGTGGGTGTTGGCTTTTTGTCCCTTACACACAACAACGCACACACAGATGAAATAAAAATACAAACGAAAGCTGTGCTGGCTGTGGCAGCTACTCTCAAAGGCTGAGGCTAGGAAGGAAAAGGGACTACAAGGCAGCAGCCAAGGCAAAGACCTGTGGTTTCGGGATAACAAAGCCCCCTGTATGGTCTCAGCTTTGGGAGCCAGAGCACACATGGATATTTAAGAACTTCAAAAAAAAAAAAAAAAGGCAGGGGAAGGCTTTCCACCTCCAAAAAACCCAGACCAGGAGCCGCGAGCTCACAGAGCAGATGCACTACCTGGGCACCCCGGAGGCCGCACTCACCGCTTACCTGTGCCGCGATGCCGCCGAGCCCAGCAAAGTCCCCCCCACTGCTGGCATGCATACCCGTGGTCCAGGTGATGGACTCATAGTTGAAGATGGTGAAGGAGAGCTTTCCATCTGTGATGAGGACGATCTGGAAAGTGTTTACCTGCAGCAGGGAGGGGAAGAAAGCAGTGAGTGGGCAGCAGGGGGGCAGGCAAGCCAGCCATAAACCAGTCAAAAAATAAAAAGACAGAAAGAGCATTTAGCAAAGCGGTGTTTCTCTGAATCCCAGCCCTCCTCTGCTAGAAAAGGCAGTTGGGTTTAATTATTTTTAACTCTAAGGTGTTGTGATCCCCACACAGCACCCCACCTGGCAGAATAGCTCACTTCTCCCAAGGGAACAGGAAAAAATGGGGAGAAATGTGGTTATTTGGTCTCTGGAAGAAAGGCACCAAACCCCATCTGTGACCGGCTCCTCAGCATAGCCGCAGGCAGGCAGACAAGCAAATGCAGGCAGAGAAACACTGCCCTGCTGCTGCCTGAGAAGGCAGACATCAGCCATTTGCAGCCTCCTTGCGGCACAAAGGTTTGGTTTTGGCAGCCTGGTGCTGCTCAGTCACAGCAAAGCATCGTGACAGAGCTGCTGGGGTCGTCATCTTAGCCCCGCTGATGGCTCCTTGCTGCACACGGCAGGAACACCACTGCTGTGGAAGGCACCACACCTCTGGTGGGATGTTCCTGTTAAAAAAAAAAACAACAAAACCAACACAAACCCTACCTCTAAACTAATGGCTGCTTTGTGCCAACTACTCACCGGCGAAAACGAACTGCCCCCGAAGAAGGTCACTCGGTACCAGGTGGCGATAAAGACCCACTGTGCAGAAAACCCCGGGAACTCAGGGAAATACTGCGCAATGTCCCTGCTCGCTCTCTCCAAGATGGGCTGCTCGGTGCTCTCCCGGTAATACACATCACCTGCCTGCCGGTTATCCACATCTGCCCAGAAAGCGGCCACCACGCGCCGGTCCTTGGAGATGGGGAAGGCCACGGGCGTGAACTGGGAGACTTCTTTCAGGAATGAGATGATCCCGTTGTTGTTCACCTGCAGAGAGAGAGGGAAAGAAACGGGCAGCCACTGTTGATTCCTGTCACCAGCCGGAATCCCTGGTTCACA